CCTATGCGTGCCCTGGAGGCCTGGCTCGGAGTGCCTTGGGCGGCCTGTGCTCTGCGCCTCCGCCTTGTTGCCTCTCTCCTCTGTCTGTATTTCCTTGCGTAGTTTTTCTGGGGGCCGCCCAGCCCGCGGCCGTGCGCGCCCTGTCCTCCCCGCCCCTGCTCAGCAGGGTCAGGGTTGGCATCGCTGCGCACGCCCTGCCATAACCACTATTACTGTTCAATGCTCTCGCTGTTGCAGACCTTCCAGATTACTCGCGTGGGTTCCAGTGCGTGCGCCGACTACAGGTCGGCTTGCGCACGCGCGAGTTCTTCCCCTTCTCCCCTCCTCGCCTCCTCCACCTTCTCCGCCGTCTGCCTCCTCCTTCCCCTCTTTGTTTTTGCAGGTGGGCCCGAGGCATTGCTTAGGATCCTTTGTCCGTCCCCTAGCGGGGTCGGGACTGCCCTCCCCCTCTCTCCTCTCCCTCCTCGGCCCCTTTAAGCTCTAAAGTAAGAGCACTTCTAGGCAGAGCCTAGGTAGGGAAAAAAGGGTAGGTGGGGTAGGCACCCTGGCTCCCCTCACACTCCCTGGGGGGGGGGACGGCCGGTTGCTCCGGCCGGCCGCGCGCCGCGCAGCCATTTCGGCCCCCGGGTTTCGCCACCACGCCCGCCCACCCAGGCGAAACGGGGCGCTGAGGGGTATGTGGGTATTTCATGAGTCCCCACCCTGTTCTAAGGTTTCTGGGCGCAGGCCATTCACGTGGAGCCCACAGGAATCCTGACCAGTTTATCAGCCGTCGCCGCGCCCTGTCCCTGGTGGCCCAGCCAACCACTACGGCCAGGCACCGTCGCGATCGGTGACCAGGCGCCTGCCCGTGCGCCCGCTGGCCTGGGGCACTCCCCGGGCGCGCCTGTCTTTCGCAACCAAAATGCGGCTGGCGCCAGAAAGGCGCGCCGTGTCTTTTCGGTGAGGGAGTGGAAATCTCCGGCCCTAGTCTCGCTACCCCCTCGCGGGTGTCGCGCGGGGTTGGCCGGCGCTCCGGGGAGATCCCGGGGAAATCTCCAATGGTTGTAGCTCCGTCCACTCATCTCATGCCGAGGTCCTTCCACCATCCTGTCTCTTCGGGTCGGGTCGGGCCCCCTAGGAAGAGCCGGGTCCGCGAGGGCTGCGGTTCGGCGGGCTCCGAGGTCAGACCAGGTCGGCGGGGTGTCTGGGGGCGGCAGGATCCCTGCGAGATCCTCGAGCCGAGGGTCCCGGGTGGTCTAAGGACTAGCTGTCTGGACCCCCCCTCTGCCAGGGTCAGGCGGTTCCGCCCCCCCCCCCCTGATGGGTGCGATGGTGATCATGATGGTGATGCTGATGTTTTGGATGAGGATGAGGATGATGATGTTGATTATGATGGCGACGATGATGGCGATGATGATGATGGTGATGACGAGGACGCGGAGGAGGACGGTGCTGACGATGGTGAGGGTGATTGTGATGGCGATGGCAATGACGATTGCGATGTTGGTGGGGACCGTGCTGGTGCTGCTTCTGATGCTGATGCTGATGGCGTTGATGGTGATGACTGTGGTGGTGGCGATGACAGCGCTGATGCTGATGGTGGTGGCGATGGTTGTGATGGTGATTGTGATGGTGATGATGGTGATGATGGTGATGCGGATGCTGATGCTGATGGGGATGCTGACGGTGACAGGGATGATGCTGATGGTGGTGATGATGGTGGCGGTGCTGATGATGGTGGTGATGCTGATGGTGGTGGTGGTGATGATGATGATGTTGGTGATGACGGTGGTGGTAGTGCTCGTGGTGATGATGGAAGTGGTGGGGATGATGCTGCTGATGCTGATGCTGATGATGGTGATGGTGATGATGGTGGTGGTGCTGATGACGGTGGTGATGCGGATGGTGGTGATGATGATGTTTGTGATGCTGATGTTGGTGATGAATGGTTGCGATGGTGATCGTGATGGTGATGATGGATATGATGGCAATGGTGATTGTGATGGTGGTCCCTCAATGTCACAATTGTTTCGTTTATCTTGGGCGCGGGGGCAGGATTAGGCAGGCATAGGTGCATAGGTTGAGGAAATCGCTCCCGAGCGTTATGGAAAACTTTCAGAGCGCTCGGAACAACCTGGAAAAAAACGCGGCGTCCGATGCATCTCCCAACCTGCCAGCCTCATTTGGGTTTGTCCTCATCCAGGCATCGTCTTGTAGGAGCAGGAGCTGGCGGATAAGGGAGGACGAGGAGGAAGAGGAGGAGCAGAGGGAAAACGAGGACGAGGAGGACGGGGAGGAGGTGGGCGAGGAGGAGGAGGAGGAGGAGGAGGAGGAGGAGGAAGAGGAGGAGGAGAGGAGGAGGAGGAGGAGGAGGAGGAGGAGGAGGAGAGGAGGAGGGAGGAGGAGGAGGGGAGGAGGAGGAGGAGGAGGAGGAGGAGGAGGAGGAGGGAGGGGGAGACATTGGGCTTCCACTCTCCGCCCGAAAGGTGCGAACGAGCGAGCGAGGAGGAGGATAATG